CATAGACACACAGAACTGAAAATAAACATAAGAAAGAAAAAAATAGATTTGTATATAGTCTGTGGTAGTAAGTGATAAAAGACCATTATCTACATATATTTTATACATCATGCCATGTAGCTTTTCTTAATTTTTTCCATATTTCTAGGTTATACAGTTCATCTGTGATTTTTTCCCCCAATTTTTCATATCTCAAAAAATTTGTCCTGTATATCTGTTGAAAAAAAATTTATGAGTGAACCCACACAGTTCAAACTTGTGTCATTCAGGGATCAACTGTAGTCATAAAATGGAAGAAAACACAGCAATTAAAACTACTACTTCACAAAAAAATATAAAAATAAGAGGACAAAACCCCCACCACTACTAGTTCATGCAACAGCACCAGTGAATCTCATAGAAAAAGACATTGACGATAATATGTAACACACATGCTGTAGAGTTCTGTAGATAAGTCCAAAAAGAAAAACAGGCAAATCTTATACATGGTGATAGAGGACAAAATAATGGATACCTCTTTTCAGGGCTGTTGATAATTTTCTGCATCTTTGTATGGTTGGGGGTTATACAGATGTTGATGTGAAAATTCATCAAACTGAACACTGGCAATTTGTCCATTTTATCTTGTTTATACATATTTAAAATAGATGAAAAGATAAATGTAGTAAATACCAATACCCACGCCCCAGATAATAAAAAGTAGAATCAGTAATACCAGAATTTTGAAATGAAATGATTGCAAATTCCATCTTACACTTTAGAGGAAACTTATCAGAATTTTATTTTGCTTAATTTTTTTTCATTAATAATTTTACATTGTATTTTAGTATCACTAATATATTTTTGTTTGGTACTAAAATTCATAGGAATGGAATCATTCTCTTAGTGTGCTTTTCTTTGCTGTGGATTATTTTCAGTATTTTTGATATAAATTTATTATTGTTAATGATCATTTTTTACTTATAGTATCTGTATTTAAAGCTATAATCGTCCCTATAAAATTTTATTAAACACATCTCTAAAGAATATATGGAAGAACCATTATTTGAAAAAAGTTACATTTTTAACTATCTTTAATTTTATGATGCATGAGTTTTCCAGTATTTTGTAACTTAATTTCCAAACACTTCTTTTCATATTTTCCATGAATCTCTCTTATTGATTCATGTCTTGATTGCATCCTGTGTATTATGTCACTCTATGTGAATTGAAGATACTTTTTAGTCATCTATATTGATAGTTCTGTAAATATTCAGTTGTACTAAATATAGACATCCTATATTTGTATTTATTAGACCAGAATTATCAATCTTGGTGTGAAAGTTCACTAGAACTTTAGCCATTTTATATTGGTTGTTTCTATTAATTACTGAGATAGCTGATATAAAAATGCTCAACATATTAATAAATTTATGTCTATCCTTTTACTAATTGTTGCTTTATGTAATACAAGTCAGCATTATACATTATATACAGTTCATAATACAATTTCTTGGTGATCGTTTCTTTTTTCTTTTTTTTTTTTCTTTTTTTTGAGATGGAGTTTTGCTCTTGTTGCTCGGGCTGGAGTGCAATGGCACAATCTCTCAGCTCACTGCAACTTCTGCCTCCTGGGCTCAAGTGATTCTCCTGTCTCAGCCCCCTGAGTATCTGGGACTACAGGGGCCTGCCATCACACCTGGCTAATTTTGTATTTTTAGTAGAGATGACGTTTCACCATTTTGGCCAGGTTGGTCTCAAACTCCTGACCTCAGTTGATCTGCCTGCCTCAGCCTCCCAAAAGTTCTGGGATTACAGGCATGAGACACCATGATCGTTTCTTTAATATTGATATTTTCTGATATAAATTCTCATTTTCATGTGTTAATTCTTTAATGTTGTATTAAATATATTTTTATTAAATATATTTTTCCCAAAGTTGTTTCATGTAGTTTTCTAATATTATACTCTAGAAGTGTTTCTTGTATCCATACTACTGTTTGATTTTTTTTTTTTTTTTTTTTTTTTGAGAGTCTTACTGTGTCACCCGGGCTGCAGTGCCATGACACCATGAGAACTCTCTGCAGCCTTGGCTCAAGTCTACTGAGTAGCTAGGATTACAGGCTTGTGCCACCACACCCTGCTATTACTTTTTTTTTTTGTACAGACAGGGCCTTGCTATGTGATTCAGGCTGATCTATTAATAGAATTCCTGACTACAAGTAATTCTCTTGCTTCAGCCTCCCGCATTGCAGGGATTATAGGCATGAGCCACTGTGCCTGGCCTTTTGGAAATTTTTAACACTTCAAAAATTACTAGCTGCTAATTTAAGAATTTATTCCACACTCATTTCATGAAACAGCTGATACATTTGGATTTATATACATCCTCTGGTTGTGTGTGTGCTTTTCTTTGCCTTACTCATTGTGTGTACTTCATTTTTTTTAATGTTTTATTTCTTTACATTTTCATTTTTTTTCAAATTTGTAAGACATATACTCCGATTCAGTTAAGGTTTAAGCTTTAAAACAGTTATTTAATACATTATAGAGTTAATGTCTTTGCTCTCCTCAGGAAATATAAGAAATTTATACATTAATTAATTTGCCCATAACAGTTTATATACTATTGAAGATATGCATGCTAATTCCACCATTCCGTCTCCAGAAGCAAATATTAATATTTTATAAAGATAATGAGTGGTCTTGTTGATCCACAGATACACCCCTCTCTCAGATCCTCATTGCTTATATCATCACAGACCAGTCACCTGGGATCACTTTCCGTCAACCTTAAGAAGGATCTTAAAAGTGTTATTTTATGCCAATAATTTTTTTCCATTAAACTTCTCATTTTGGGATTCAAATATTCTTATTTCACAGTTTTTCTTAGTGCATTTGTTGTGCATAGAAATCCGTTGACAGTTGTATCTGTAACTCCTTCAGCGTGTTATTCCATTGTGTCCCTGACACCTAAATTTGTATTGGCTTAGAGACAGATAATTTACATGATACATATATGTAATTATATGTGTGTATATAAATTATATATGTGTATGTGTAAAATTATATGTGTATATATGTAATTATGTGTGTATATAAATTATGTGTATATATATATGTGTATGTGTGTATATATATATTTTTCCCTATAAATAAGATGTAAATTATTTCTATGTCATCTCATAAAATAAACCAGGTTATAAAATTTTAACTACAGTGACACTTAAGTGAACAATGGAGTTAAAAACTATGAAGAGCAATTAGTCTTGACAGTTCTATGTTTTGAATCACATGGCCTATAAGAATGTGTCTTTTGGACAATAGACCTACCTGTAGTTTATGAAACTCTCTTGCATGTGATATCTTTTTCAATTGAGCCTAGTTATATATAGATGTGCTTTTGTGCAAAAATTATAACCATTACTGGGCTGGGCGTGGTGTCTCACACCCATAATCCCAGCACTTTGGGAGGCTGAGGCAGTCGGATCACCTGAAGTTAGGAATTCGAGACCAGCCTGACCAACATGGGGAACCGTGTCTCTACTAAAAATACAAAATTAGCCGGGCATGGTGGCGCATGCCTGTAATCCCAGCTAGTCAGGAGGCTGAGGCAGGAGAATCAACTGAACCTGGGAGGTGAAGGTTGCCATGAGCCGAGACCATGCCATTGCACTCCAGGCTGGGCAACAAGAGCATAAATAAATAAATAAATAAATAAAACCATTACCTATGATGCTACTTGACAATCGAGGGAATGATTGTACTTGTTTTGGTGGTTTTGTTTTTTCAAAATCACCACTGATCCCGAAAAGGGTGGATCTTTGATTTATCTTCCTAAAGCAATGTGAGAACCTTGTGTTGAAGAAGACTAATAGCCTGTATGTATCTAGCTCGATGTACCAGGTCCGGTGTTGGTTTCCATGTAGTGTTTTCCATCTTACCTTTTTTTTGGCTAATGACTTTTAAAGACCTCCAGTTCTTGAACTTGAGCTGGGGCCCCATCTCCAGAGTTTCTTTATCAGAAGGTATAAGTTGGGTCCAAGATTGTACAGTTTTTCATAAGTTCATAGTGAAGCTAATGCTGAAAACCACCTACCAAATTGGGAATCAATGAATTAGAAGAGGCTCATGTTTTTGCCATGTTACATGCAAAGCTGCTCCTCCTCCTTTCGTCATGAATAAAAGCTCCCTGTGGCCTCACCAGAAATAGATACCGGCACCATGCTTCCTGTGCAGCCAGCAGAAAAGTAGCATTACATCTCTCTTCTCATATATTAACAAAAAATCAGTAGAACATTCCATGTTTTACAAAAAGGCCCACAAGCGAGATACATTGTTCAATTTATTAATACATTTCAATCCCCAAAGCTGACAGAGGTGAAGCAGGCCTCCCAGGGCTTCAGAGGCAGGAGGATTAAATGATGGGTCACCTGCTGGCGACTTCAGTGTCGTGGCATTGTCCCAAGTGGCCAGGAAAATCAGGGTGCGTGCCCTTTAAAGACAGCGTTAGCCTCCGAGACAGTTTTCCCGGTGTTTCTTCCCCTCCCGGCGGTACGCATTTCTCGCCTACGTGCAGCCAATGACAGCCCAGAAACTGGGCGTTTCCTGCTGCTCGGGGCGGCAGGGGCGGGACTTCCGGCGTCGCCGACGTGACGTATTTTTCCTTTGCCCGGTCCGTGCCTTCTGGTTGAGAAGGCTGAGTCTTAGACTGGGAGGACTTTCTACTCGGCTCTCGCCGAACCAAGCGAAAAAAGGCAGTGAAGAGGACAGGACCTTCCTCCGCGCTTTTGTTACAGTCCGTGATCCCTGTCGTGGGACGGGCGGCCTCGCGGAGGTGTCTGCCGGTGCTGGGCTCTTACCGAGGCCTCCACACACGCCCTCTTGTCCTTGTCTCCCCCAGAGGCCGCCACCTTAGTCTTGTGAGCGCTTTTACGCCGGGTAGACTGAGGCTTGGGGTGCTACGCTCAGCCCGAGGGCGTCCAGCGCGGTGGAGGCGTGGGGTTTTGGCTGAGCCCACAGGGCACATCCTGTTCACCCCCTTCCCATGGCAGCGGCGGTGCTCATGGACCGGGTTCAGGTGAGTGGGGGAGTCCCTCAAGCGTACACCGGCCTGGTTGGTGTGTCCTGGGATGTTCGCTCTCATCGCGCACTTCTCTTGACCACCCTGGAGGGCCGTCACTCCGTCGCATTATGCGGAGGGGTTCCGCTTTCCTTATCAATGGCATGAGGTGTGCAAGGGATTCGAAGGCGCAGGGGCAGTTCGTACAAATGCATGCATGGAGATGAGAATGAGCTTGGAAGGTTCTGGGAACCGTCTGTGCCTGGTGAGAACAGAGAATAGGGGATCAGAGGTAGGCCTGGAATGGCAGCCTGAGGAGCTGGTCCTCTCTTTTAACGGTGTGGGGACTCCTGCAAGGTTTGATACAGAGAAGGGAGGTCCTCTGACGCAGTTCTTCAAAGGCTCCCTCTGGCTGCAGAGTGGGTAGACTGGAGAGCATAGAGGTAGACGAGGAAATCAAGATAGAATCTACTGAAATAGTCCAGGTGAGCGTTGATAGTGGGTGGGCTAGAGTGGTGGCAGCAGAGATTAGAGAATATATAGGTTTTGTATATGTATTTTATAAGGCTGATCAGAATCTCTGATGAGACATAGTGATATCCTGGGATTCTTCACAGGTCCGTCTTCACTTGACACTAGGGGCGGTGAATGGGGGTCATTTCTAGCTTAGTGTCCTGAATCCAGACCATGAGTTGTATCATGTAGAGAAGTCCCCACCTAGCAACCAATGGCATGAGTACTGGAAGAATATATTAGACCCAGGGACAGGTACTGCAAATGCTTGTAGGTAAGATTGAGTTGGGAGTGCTCAGGGAACCTCAAGTCTTAATTACTTTTTCGGAAACAGATATCAGAGGAGGGAGTTAGGCTGGAATGGCTGGCCGAGGAGCTGGACCCCTATCCTAAGTTTGGTGAAACTCGTGAGAGATTTGGAGCAGAGGAAGAGATGATCTGACTCGGATTTTAACAAGCTGTCTCTGGCTTTCAGGTAGAGAACAGACTGTGAGCGTGAGGGAGGAGCTACTGCAGTGGTGTTGATGGTGTCTGGTCTAGAGGTATGGCTGTGCGGGTGAGAGAAGTTGGTGAATTTTCCTTTTATTAAGTAGGGTGATTGGATTTTTTGGTGTGAAGGGCGAATGAGAGAAGAGAGTCATGGTTGACCCGAAAATTGGTTTATTTATTTTTGCTGTACCTGGTAAAATTATGGAAATGCCATCAACTGAGATGGAGAAGTTGGCTGCAGGTATGATTTTTAGTGGTTATATCAAGAGTTAGCCTTTGGCCATGTTTAGATTATGAAATCTCAATTGACATCTTAGTTGAGGCCTTAAGAAGACACACAGGTTTTTAGTTCTGGGGAAAGGTCCTGGTGAAGAAGTTGAAAAAAATGGTGGCCAATGTGTAGAGTGGGATGGGTTATCTTCAAATCATGGTGGTAATGCTGTTATTGAGTTAGGTTGAAACTGTAGACTGAGAGAAAACTGGGTCTGTTGCTTAGGCACCTGGGTGGCAGTGGTGCATAGTGTGAAGACACGAGCACTTCCTGGACACTGTGAGCAGACTGGCATGGGGATGAGGGATGTCATTGAGGTGCATATGGGATGGGACAGTGGCAGTGGGGATCTCAGATGTGAGGAAGGTGTGTTCCAAAGAGTAGTTGTGAGTGTTGGGAGGACTGTGAACTAATGGTCTTAAGACTCTAATATTGGCAGCTCATGGGAGAAGATGGAGCTGAAGTTTGGTTGTGTTTAGAGGTATCGCCTGGACAACACCAGGAGAACTGGTTAGTAGAAGAGTATTTGGTCATGCCAGACCCAGAGTTGAGACAGTATCTGTCTGCACACTTGCCTGGTTCTGCTCTGGGCTGGAAACAGCAGTGAGAGGGACATGAGGAGAGAACAGACTCTAGTGGTGCCAAGGTCTGTATCTCCTCTTAGTTGGGAGGCTACGGAGGCAAGGGACTAAAGGGTGGGTGTGTGAGTGTATAGACTGGGGAGGAAGGAAGGGGTTCTGGAGAGAGATGCTGACTGTGGACTCAACTGTACTCATCATGGCAGAGTTGCGTGACCTTTGAGGATGTGTTCGTGTACTTCTCTCGAGAGGAGTGGGATCTCCTTGAGGAAGCGCAGAGATTCCTGTACCGTGATGTGATGCTGGAGAACTTTGCACTTGTGGCCACACTGGGTAAGTCTGTTTTCGTTATCTAATGCTACATGGCAAAGCTTAGTAACTCCAGACAATAAAACAATGAAAATTAGTTATCTCTCAGCTTCAGAGCATTGGGAATCTGGTTACAGCATATTTTGTTGTTTGTTATTTCCAATTTTTTTTTTTTTTTTTTTTTTTTAATGTTTTGAGGCAGAGTCTCACTCTGTCAGCCAGGCTACAGTGCAGTGTTGTGATCATGGTTCACTGCAGCCTCAAACTCCCGGGCTAAAGTGATCCTCCCACTCAGCCTCCCGAGCAGCTGGGACTACAGATGCATGCCACCATGCCCAGCTATTTTTACTTTTTGTAGAGATGAGGTCTCGCTATGTTGCCCAGGCTGGTCTAGAGCTCCTGACCTCAAGCGATCCTTTCCTCCTTGGCCTCCCAGAGTGCTGGGATTACAGGCTTGAGTCAGTACAGCCAGCCTGATCACAGCTTCTTATGCAGTTGCTTTTGGCTCTCATGAAGTTTTAATCAAGCTCTCAGCCAGTATCATGGTTTTATCTAAGAAGAATCCACTTATAGGCTCAGTCACATTGCTGTTTGCAAGATTTAGTTTATTGTGGCTTATTGGACTGTGAGCATTGTTCCTTGCTGGCTACTGGCCAAAGTCCACCCTCAATTGGCCTTTCTGTAGTGTACCTCATAACACAGAAGCTAACTTCTCTTTGAGCAAGTGAGCAAAAGAATGTTAAAGATGGAAGCCCAGGACTGTAACCTAATATTGAAAGTGTCATTGCATTATTTTTGACATATTCTATTACTTGGAAATGAGTCAGCCCCATCCAGCTTACCATCAAAGGATGAGGCTTACACAGGGGCGAGAGTACTCGGAGGTAGGGATCACTGGGACCATCTCAGAGGCTGTGTTCCACAGGCCTTTACACCACTGCGGTGTCCTTGGCGGTGGGGTCTGAGACTTCCCCTGTTCCCCATGGGCCACTCTTTCCGTCCATCTTATCAGTGACTCTTCTCCTTCCCTTCCTTGTTTTCCCGAGTAGGTGCTGTGGGTGCCAAGACTGGCTGTGTTCATTGTCTCTGCCTTCACTGGGTAATCTGAACATCTGTTGCCCTAGAGCTTTGCAGGAAAAGGTTAGGATTCAGGGGTTTTTCAGTCTGCTAAGCAGATGCTACACAGCTCAGGTGCTTACTGCCTGAGTCAGTGTCATTATCTTTGCACCTCTTTGTCCTAGGTTCTGCCCCATCCTCTTGTTGACATTTCCTGGGGCATGACTGTGCCAGGAAGTTCAGGAGCTGACACAATCATTTCCTGTGGTTACAGGGCTATCCTGGTACATCCTCCTTGGAGAGCATTTTTTCTAAACGTTCTGCTCTCTCTGTGGACTGGTCTACCTGCACCACCCACCAGCCCTTTGTTTGCTTTACGGCTTTCATTTTCCCAGTTTCATGTAGTTGCCCATCTGGAGAGGGGCAGAAAGCCTTGGGTGCCTAACAGGGCAGACAGCACTCCAGCCACAATAAGGGAGACCTGGGGAGGGCCTGTTCTTGCTGAATGGGAGCTGGGGAGGGTGTCTGTTATGGCTGGGTTCAGATCGAACCTTCAGCTTGTTTTGTGTTTGTCAGTGTTTTGCTGCCAAGGCCCATAGTGATTCTGCACATCTACTTTTCCCTCATTCTTGGCACTTTTTCCTTTTGTCATTTCTCACCTGTCTTCTATCTCCTTTGGGTATTTTCCCACTTTTCTGTCTCCACGTTTCACTTGCTGTCTTCAACATTAGCTCACTTTAATATGTCATGAATTGTGCACATTAAATAGTCCTTGAGAACTAGCTACTTACTTGGAGTCAGATTTTCCTGGGCGTGGACACACCTATTAGCACAGAGCTTACCTGACACTAGAGGTCAAGGCTCTGCTGAAATCCTCTTCCAGAGATACCAGGTAGAGGCTTCACCTCTGCTTCCTATCCTCTACGCCATTGTCTTTAGGTTTTTACCCCATAGTCAGGGTTCCTCCATTCTGTGACCTGTAGAGGCCCTCTACTGACAACCAGCCCTTCTTTACACTGTTTCCAGCTCTCTTGTCCTGCCAACAAGCCAGTGGACTTGCACTGGTGATAACACACATTTGTGAGGGGGCTGCTGCCTCCCACCAAAGTCAGCGTGCACTTCACCAAACTTTTTTTTGCTTTCAGGTTTTCGGTGTGAAGCAGAAAATGAGGAGGCACCCTCAGAGCAGAGCATTTCTGTAGAAGGAGTGTCACAGGTCAGGACTGCTGAGCCAGGTCTCTTCCAGAAAGCACACCCATGTGAGTTGTGTGACCCACTCTTGAAAGACATTTTGCACCTGACCGAACACCAGGGATCACACCTTACACAGAAACTGTATACACATGGGCTGTGTAGGAGAAGATTCTCATTCAGTACAAAATTTTACCAGCACCAGAAGCAACATAATGGAGAGAATTGTTTCAGAGGGGATGATGGAGGGGCCTCATTTATGAAGAGCTGTACAATCTGCATGTTAGGGAGATCCTTTACATGCAGGGAGGAAGAGATGGACTTACCAGACAGCTCTGGCCTCTTCCAGCCCCAGACCACTTACAATAGGGTGAGTCCATGTGAAAGGACTGAATGCATGGAGTCTTTCCCACACAGCTCCAGTCTTGGGCAGCATCAAGGAGACTGTGATGGACAGATGCTTTTTATTTGTGGTGATGAAGGGAAAGGCTTTCTGAACACCTTTACTCTTCTTGACAGCCAGATAACGCATGCTGAGGTGAGACCCTTTAGATGCCTACCATGTGGAAATGTGTTCAAGGAGAAATCAGCTCTTATTAACCACAGAAAAAGCCACAGTGGAGAAACATCTCATGTGTGTAAGGCGTGTGGAAAAGCCTTCATTCACTTGCACCATCTAAAAATGCACCAGAAATTTCACACTGGAAAAAGACATTATACATGCAGCGAATGCGGGAAGGCCTTCAGCCGCAAGGACACGCTTGTTCAGCACCAGAGAGTTCACACTGGAGAAAGATCTTATGACTGCAGTGAATGTGGAAAAGCCTACAGCAGAAGCTCCCACCTTGTTCAACACCAGAGAATTCACACAGGAGAAAGGCCTTATAAGTGCAACGAATGTGGGAAAGCCTTTAGCCGTAAAGACACACTTGTTCAGCACCAGAGATTTCATACTGGAGAAAGGCCTTATGAGTGTAGTGAATGTGGAAAATTCTTTAGCCAAAGCTCCCACCTTATTGAACACTGGAGAATTCACACTGGGGCAAGGCCTTATGAATGCATAGAATGTGGAAAATTCTTTAGCCATAACTCTAGCCTCATTAAACATCGGAGAGTCCACACAGGAGCAAGGTCCTACGTGTGCAGTAAATGTGGGAAGGCCTTTGGCTGCAAAGACACACTTGTTCAGCATCAGATAATTCACACTGGAGCAAGGCCTTATGAGTGCAGTGAATGTGGGAAGGCCTTCAGCCGTAAAGACACACTTGTGCAGCACCAAAAAATCCACACTGGAGAAAGGCCTTATGAGTGTGGTGAATGTGGCAAATTCTTTAGCCATAGCTCCAACCTTATTGTACACCAGAGAATTCACACTGGAGCAAAGCCTTATGAGTGCAATGAATGTGGAAAATGCTTTAGCCACAACTCCAGCCTCATTCTGCACCAGAGAGTTCACACAGGAGCAAGGCCTTATGTGTGCAGTGAATGTGGGAAGGCTTATATTAGTAGCTCCCACCTTGTTCAGCACAAGAAAGTTCACACTGGAGCAAGACCTTATGAGTGCAGTGAATGTGGGAAATTCTTTAGCCGCAACTCTGGCCTCATTCTACACCAGAGGGTTCACACTGGAGAAAAGCCTTATGTATGCAGTGAATGTGGGAAAGCCTACAGCAGAAGCTCCCATCTTGTTCGTCACCAGAAAGCACACACTGGGGAAAGACCTCATGAGTGCAACAGTTTTGGTGACCCTTTAGCTGCATCTCTTAAACTTGTTTAACGCCAGAAAATTCACACAAGAGAAAGGCCTTATGAATCCACAAAATGTGTCATCTTGTTCATCCTTGTAGGACTCAAACTAGAGTAATGCTCTATGAGTACCCTTTGTGAGAGAACCATCAGCTAGCAGATAAGTCTTCTATATTCATTCCACCCTGGAGAGGTTCCTGGTAAGCACCACATATATGAGACGCTTTCATGACGTGTGTTGCACTTTGTAACTATCTAGGGCTCTTGATGGAATTATATCACTGCCGGTGCCTGTGGCGGAAGCCATCTTATTCCTACCAGCTGTGTGTGTCCGTCACTCCATTTTGCTCAGGGAAGGCAGACTCCTGTGCTTTCTTTCCTCTTGCCTGCAGGGAATCATGAGTATTTTCAAGGATCACCCCCCAACCCCCCACCACTGAGAGTCCTCACCTTTTCCTTCATGATCAGGTTCTGAGCAAACATGATCTAGCTCTGGCCAGAAGGACCTAAGCTGGGGTCTGCTGGGATTTCATGGCAGGATTTTCCATCATCGTGGGCATTGCTGACTGTAAATGTGATAGCTGTGTCTTACTTGTACTGCCAAATCGTCCAACTTTGGAACGGCATGCCCCATGCTGCTCTGGTTTATACAGTGATAAAGGCCAATTGTGGCAGCTTTTACTCTTGGGGATTTTGTTACTATGTAGAGTGGACTGAGAAAAAAACTGGGTTCTGTCATGAAGGAAGTAACACCTTTTCTGGACACCACCTTTATGTGCCTCAGAGGGGACCATAGGATGGCAGAAAACAGTTCTCAGTCTAGTTTGACCTAATTTGTACCATTGCCCTAGGTCTGCTAGGAAAGACTAAAAAGTTTTTTGTACCTAACTTTGTGGTGTGGCTGCCAGGACTTCCTGTGAGCAGCCCAGTGAGTAGGGCATAGTTGGTGTAAAAATCTCCTGTGCTTCTGGAAGCAACGTAAGTTGGGTCCCTTGACTGGCACGTATTCCCGAGCACCGTTGAGGGATTGCTGTCCTCAGTACCTATACAGGATCGAGTCCCTGATATCCAGAATCCCATAGGCAAGTGACATGGACTGTAAGACCTCTATAGGGCAATGTGAAAATCATGATTGGTACAGAAACACTGAGATAATAGAGTGTGGATGACTGTGACAAACAAAAGATTCGAACATTCTAGAGAGGCATCCACAGATATTGGTGCAGTTATGATGGTGTGGGATGGGGGTGCACAGAAATTCTCGGGACCTTCAGACATCTGTATCTCCTCTGGCCAAGGCCACTGTCAGAGTAAATAATGTAAATGTTTGTGGATTTCTGTGTCTCCCTGGGCAGTTGACCTTGTAGCCATCACTGCACAGACAGGAACCCCAGCACTGACAGGAGAGATCCAGGAATGGGTCTTCTCTGACCCACCAGCATTCTTAGTGACAGGTGGACATGGACTTCATTGCCCATCAATTTTTACCAACATTGAGGCAGGGCTCACTCTCCTAAATTGTAGGGAGAGGAATATGGTTGAGCCAAAATAGTTAACACATCTAATTTTCCAAGTGGAAAAGTATATATAGATTTTAATGAGGAACATTTATTTAACAACTTTATGGAGGTATTAACATGCAATAAACTGGAAATACGTAAAGTGTAAAATGTGCTGTTTCAGCATGTATATACACCTATGAAACCACCACAGTCAAGATATTCAGTGTAACAAAAGATTGTCCCTTTATAATCCTTCTCAATCTTTCCTCATCTTGTTTTCCACAATTCATAAGCAACAGCAAGCATTTTCTATAATTTTGTAAGTGAAGTCGTATTGTGTGTACTTTTTAGAGGGGGGCTGTTGCTTTTTCAGTAAACAGCTATTTTAAGGTTAATCCATTATCTTGTTGCATGAATCAATTGTTTGCTCATTTGTATTGCTGAGTAGTATTTCATTGTATACCACAATTTTTCTTTTTTGTCAACTTAATTGTTACGGATGTTTAGGTTGCTTTCAGTTTTTGGCTATTACAAATAAACCTTTGGAGATTTGTGTGCAAGTTCTGGCTGAATGATATTCCATTTCTAAATATACCTCAGTCTTTATCCATTTACTTAATGAAGAACATTGTAGTTGCTTTCAAGTTTTGGCAGTTATGAATGAATCTACTACATATTTGTATAGTTTTTCTGTGGACAGGTGTTTTCAACTCATTTGGATACATGCCAAGGAGTGCAATTGTCTCTGTCATATAGTATGTTTAGTCTTGTAAGAAACTGTCAAGCTATCTTCCAACATTGCTGTGTCTTTTTTTTTCTAAGACAGAGTCTTGCTTTATCACCCAGGCTGGAGTGCGGTGGCATGATCTCGGCTCACTGCAGCCTCTGCCTCCCGGGCTCAAGCAACTCTCCCACCTCAGCCTCCTGAATGGCTGGGATTACAGTTGTTTTGTCACCATGCCCAGCTAATTTTTGCAAGTTAGTAGAGACGGGGTTTTGCCATGTTGGCCAGGCTGGTCTCGAACTCCTGACCTCAAGTGATCACCCTCAGCATCCCAAAGTGCTGGGATGACAGGCGTGAGACACTGCACCAGGCCGTGGCTATACCATTTTTGCATCCAACCAACAATTAATGAACATTCCTCTTGCATCTCATCCTAGTAAGCATTTGGCATTTGCAGTATTTAGGATTTTTAAATGCCATTCAAGTAGGTGTAGGGATATACCTATTGTTGCTTTAATTTGTAATTCCCTAATAACACACAATGAATATCTTTTATTTTTTAAAGGCAGTATTTCCTTTTGTTTTTGTTTTTGGTGAGATAGAGTCTTGCTCTGTTGCCCAGGCTGGAGTACAGTGGCTTGATCTTGGCTCACTGCAACCTCCACCTCTTGTGTTCAAGCGATTCTCCCACCTCAGCCTCCTGAGTAGCTGGGACTACAGGCACCTGCCACCATGCCTAGGTAATTCTTGTATTTTTAGCAGAGACAGGGTTTCACCATGTTGGCCAGGCAGGTCTTGAACCCCTGACCTCAGGTGATTCACCCACCTTGGTCTTCCAAAGTGCTGGGATTATAGCACCTGGGTTTTTGTTTTGTTTTGTTTTGTTTTGTTTTTGTGAGTTTCACACATCCGAATAAGTGGCTTGCAGAGAGAATTTAACAACTTTGGCTGTTAGTTTGAATCTGTGATTTATGAATACAAAAAAGACAGTCTAAGAAAACATAGCAGTCTTGCATACATACAGCAGCTGGCAGCCGTATTCCCAGTGTGTCCCATGTACCTACCATTGACTTGAAACCCAGTGCATACGTGCTTATTGAACATTTTCTCGAGTAGCAAATACACATCATCCCACATCTTCCCTATTCTTTTTTTTTTTTTTTTTTTTTGAGACGGAGTTTCGCTCTTGTTACCCAGGCTGGAGTGATGCCGCGATCTCGGCTCACCGCAACCTCCGCCTCCTGGGTTCAGGCAATTCTCCTGTCTCAGCCTCCTGAGTAGCTGGGAGTACAGGCACGAGCCACCATGCCCAGCTAATTTTTTGTATTTTTAGTAGAGACGGGGTTTCACCATGTTGACCAGGATGGTCTCGATCTCTTGACCTCGTGATCCACCCGCCTCGGCCTCCCAAAGTGCTGGGATGACAGGCTTGAGCCACCGCACCCGGCCCATCTTCCCTATTCTTATTTAAATATTTTGAGATAAAGTCTTACACTGTCACCTAGGCTAGAGTGCAGTGGCACAATCTCTGCTCACTGCAACTTCTGCCTCCCAGGTTCAAGCAATTCTCTTGCCTCAGCCTCCTGAGTAGCTGGGATTACAGATGCCTGCCACCATAAGCGTCTAATTTTTTGGTATTTTTAGTAGAGATGGGGTTTCACTATGTTGGCCAGACTGGTCTTGAACTCCTGACCTCGTGATCCATCTGCGTCAGCCTCCCAAAGTGCTGGGATTACAGGTGTGAGCCACCATACCTGGCCTTCATTTGTATTTGTTGACAGGTCTTTCCATTTATCATCTCTACTTATCACTCCAAACAGTTAATAAGCAATGTATTTCAAGTACAAAAAAAGAATTACATTTAGGAGACAGAGCATAATGTGTCCAAGATTCCAGCACAGCCAGTCTCAACTTCATTCTTGGACTTCTCAGACTTTGCTGTCTCGCTCAAACTTTATTCTTACTATTTTCCCCCTTTACATGTCACAGATAGGTTTCTGTAGAACTATTTCTGCGATTTTCTTTGAATAACAACAGTGGGAAGTAGAAAAGTTCCTCTCTACGTTTTCTTGTTAAAGAATAAGTGTGCTAATAACTTTATTAGGCCCTATCCTATGTAGCTGTTAGATATGCCATGCTTACAGGCACGTAGTACATTCTATGTCCTTGTCCTTTAACCAAGATATCTGTGGTGAACTTGCTCACAGACATGTCCCAGTTCTCCATTGCTTTACCTGTTTAGAACAGTTTTCATTTGTTAGCCAATCTGGTTTTAGTTTAGATTGTGAGGTCTGGCTCCAGCCAACGGAGATCAGACACAGCAGTAAGGACTACCCCAAATGCATAAGGAATAAATTTGTGAGTTTTCCTTTGTTCATTGTACTCTTGAGGCAAGATGGCTAGTGAGAGTACCCTTCCTGCAGTCCAGGAAGTAAAAATTGCATTGCTGAAAGATCCTTTGTCTCAGTGCTGATTTTTCTTGTGGCACTAACCATCTATTTTCCGGTAACAACATAATCATTGTTTGTCCAAACTGCACCATTCTGTAAGCCCCCTGCCATTTAACAGATCTTGGTCAGAGTAAAGCATTCCATGGGAGTAAGGGCCTTAAGAAGCATTCTGCCCAAATGCCTGACTTTCTTATCACATCAAGCTGGCAAAAGGTCCAAGGGATGTCACTATCACATCCTGCCAGGAAAAGAGCCAAACCACCTCAGTAACACATTATGAACATCTTTGGGCCAGGTGCAGTGGCTCATGCCTGTAATCCCAACACTTTGGGACGCCGAAGCGGGTGAATCACCTGAGGTCAGGAGTTCCAGACTAGCCTGACCAACAGGGTGAAACTCTCCCTCTACTAAAAATACAACCACAAAAAAGGGAGTGGTGGCGGGCGCCTGCAAAGGCAGCTACTCGGGAGGCTGAAGCAGAAGAATCGTTACGTAGGAGGTGGAGGTTGCAGGAGGCGGGGATTGCGCCCTTGCACTTCAGCCTGGGCGACAACAGCCGTTGCAGGTCTTGTACTGGACATAAAAACTGCGTTGCTTTAAAGCCGCCAACTCTCTGCCTTTAACTGTCGCCTTCCCTTGAGAACCTAACAATCATTAATAATAGATTTCTGTAATTTTCATTTCACAAGTATTTTCACAGATATTTTCAACGTCCTGTAAAACAACTCACTTGTCAGGAAGGAGATAAGATCATGATATTTCAGTTTTTATTTGGGATAATACCTTCCCTATGTACATACTGTCCAACAATGGAATGGCAGAAAATCTCCTGTGAGGAAATGGCATGTGTCAGTCACTCTCATTTTCATATAGGATTGAGACTTTTTAAATAAATGTAAATATCTCAGATATGAAGTAATAAGTACTATTAGAATAAAAGCATTGCACTCTTGGTGGAACACAATCACTGACTCTACAGACAATAATGATGTTTTCTCTTGGATCCAGAGGCATAGCTTCACCCTTTCAGTCTATTTCAATAGCTCATGTCATCATTTGTGCGAATTCCCGGCCTTGCAGTCTTTCTTTCTTCTTTTGGACCAACCAGATTGAAGCTTAAAAAACAAAAGTCGAGGCCGGGCGCGGTGGCTCACGCCTGTAATCCCAGCACTTTGGGAGGCCGAGGCGGGTGGATCACGAGGTCAAGAGATCGAGACCATCCTGGTCAACATGGTGAAACCCCGTATCTACTAAAATACACACACACACACACACACACACACACACACACACACAAATTAGCTGGGCATGGTGGCGCGTGCCTGTAATCCCAGCTACTCAGGAGGCTGAGACAGGAGAATTGCCTGAACCCGGGAGGCGGAGGTTGTGGTGAGCCGAGATCGCGCCATTGCACTCCAGCCTGGGTAACAAGAGCGAAACTCCGTCTCAAAACAAAAAAACAAACAAACAAACAAACAAACAAAACAGTGGATAAGGGCTCAGTGGCACCGTCAAGGGAGCTGGTAAACGGAGCGCGGCACTCTGAAGACTGCACGGGACTTGGCTTACTCTAAAAGGCGACGTAACCAGATTTTCTTGAAGCAAGATATAGGACCCTCACAGAAATGTGAGGAACCTATTATTTCGGATTGTAAAGCACAGCAAGCTTCCAATGGCTACACCTCCAAAGGCACACACCATATCATAAAGGCACTCTGTCTCTACACGTGCCTGTCAGCCATATTGTTGCTTTTCAAATACACACACAGTTCAGCTTTGACTTTTGTGGGGTTTTTTTTGAGACGGAGTTTCGCTCGTTACCCAGGCTGGAGTGCAATGGCGCGATCTCGGCTCACCGCAACCTCCGCCTCCTGGGTTCAGGCAATTCTCCTGCCTCAGCCTCCTGAGTAGCTGGGATTACAGGCACGCGCCACCATGCCCAGCTAGTTTTTTGTATTTTTAGTAGAGACGGGGTTTCACCATGTTGACCAGGATGGTCTCGATCTCTTGACCTCGTGATCCACCCGCCTCGGCCTCCCAAAGTGCTGGGATGACAGGCGTCAGCCACCGCGCCCGGCCCTACCCACCGCGTAAGGGCTGACCAACGATCTAAAGCAACTCCGAAAGCCGCGTCGACCCAGAAGACACTGCGGCGCGACTGAACCCGCGAAGGCGCAGGAAGGAACGCGTGCGTGCGTGCGTGCGTGCGTGCGTGCGTGCGTGCGTATCGTCGGCGGGCAAAACTTCCGGCGACCTCCCGGCGGTGGTTGGTTTGGTTCTTTCTGGTGTTTCCACCAGCTCCCGTTTGGCAGTCGTCGAAGTGACGGGCCGGAAAAGTGCTGGAAGCGGCCTGGATCCCACCTGGATCCCTCCCGCCTTTGCGCGGGAGGGACAGAGGCACAGCTGACAGGGGCAGAGGCTCTACTGACAAGCGCTGGGGACGGCGGTGTCCTTGTCTTGCCTTTGTCGCCCCCGCGCGGCTCTTCCCTGGCTGGGCTGGCGGAGACGGCGCCGATGAACCTGACTGAGGTGGGTGTCCCGTCTCACCCCCGCCCCTCCTCCCAGTGCCGAAGCACCCAGAAGGGGCCCTGCAGGTCCGGCCCCTTGTCCCGAAGAGAGGGGCGTTCCCGTGTGGGGTCCCCGTATCAGCTGGTTTGATGCAGCCTCAGAGCTCCCATCGGGGACCTCCAGTTCAGGGCATGGAGGCGCTGCCGAGTGGGCCGCGTCGGGGAGCCCGGAGTGTGTGTTGTTTCTGCGGGAGAAAGAGGGTTTTGTGAATTCTCGCTTGGCATGGTAACCTGAGCAGCCGGTAACCGTGGAAGGTTGTCAAGGGAGGGCCAATGGGAGGGGCAGGTCAAGAATTGGAAATCTGAAGTTAGAACAAGCAGGATGGGGAATTGACACAGAGAGACGGAGAAGAGGCCACACTGTGGCGGATCCCAGAGGCCGGACCAGAGCCGTGGTAAGAGAGGGGCGATGTGATGGGATTCTGGATAGACCTGAAAGACAGATCCAGCAGGTTTTCTTGCTGTATCAGATATGTCTGTGAGCAGAAATAGGGACTGATGGGCCATGTTTTTTTCTTTTTTGCCTGAACATCTGAAAGAATGAAGTTGGGGAAGTCAGCAGCATGAGGAGTAGGTTTCATGGGGATGATCATGGGTTGGAGTTTGGCCAGTGTGATTCTCAGGCGTCTCAAGTTGAGATGTCACGTTGGTAGAGTGACAGAAAGGTCTGGAGTCTACAGAAGAGTTCCGGTGTAGATTCTTCAAAAGAATAGAGGGTGTAGATTAGACCAGGGCCTGAGGGTCCAATTCGGTAGGGTAATCGAAAGGTTAATTGCCTGTGAGCTATGTGGTGAGGGAGGAGAGAGTTAATACTTGGGGTTCAGACCATAGGCGGTTAACAAGCCGAACATTTACTTTAGAAAGGTGCAGACCTGCCATGGGAAGGATTTTGTCCTCTGCCTAGAAAAAGGGGGGCATGGATTGGGTAAGGAATGGGCTTAGGATGCAGACTGAGGTTTGAGATGGTTTATATTCTGCACCTACAGGCTTGGCTGACCCTCAGGGCCACTCTTTGTGCGACAAGAGAAAAGTTATCCTGGCTAGTAGAGCAGCTAGTTTAGCTAGTTCTAAACTAGGGCTCTGCTTTTTCCCCTTCTCCACATGTCAAGGCAAGGTTGGATGATCTACTGCCCCAGTCAAGGTCTCCCAGCAAGCTCCCCTCAGAGCCTGACGTAACAGGTAGGCCTAGTTGCAGAGAGGACCGGTAGCTGACCTGCCTGCTCAGCCCCTCCCTACAACGCATTAAGAATGTATGAAACACGCCCTCTCGAGGTGGCTCACACCTGTAATCTCAGTACTTTGGGAGGCCAAGGCAGGTGGATCACGAGGTCAGGAGTTCAAGACCAGCCGGGCCAAGATGGTGAAACCCCATCTCTACTACAAAAAAAAAAAAATGAGCCGGGTGTGGTGGTGGGTGCCTGTAATCCCAGCTACTCAGGAGGCTGAGGCAGAGAATTGCTTGAACCCGGGAGGTGGAGGTTGCAGTGAACTGAGATTGCACCACTGCATTCCAGCCTGGTGACAGAGCGAGACTCTGTCTCAATTTAAAAAGTATATGTATATAAACACTTACTGGTATAAACACTAACTGGTGTCCTTCTAAATGGGTACATAGAGGTAGGCAGTTAGAAGCGAAGCAATTCATTGAGTTAAATTCCTGCCAACACTTCATAATTGGTTTGACCCAAATTTGCCTATAATTAACATACCATGGAAAATTTTGGTATCACATCCTCTAAAATTTTAAAAGATAAAAATGTACACCCCAGTTGTTGAAATTCTGCTACATCATTTACACTGAAAACATTGTAAACCATTAATGCAAGAACAGTAATACCTGATATATTATGATTTACTAGTGTTTGACACCTAAGAGTCCTGTGAGGTGGGAGTCATCCTTATAACATCAGACCTATTTATAGATGAGAACACTGAAGCTCCAGCAGGTTCAGTTCTTTTCTGGTGCCACAGTGCTGCTAAGAGGCAACACCGAAGTCTGAGGAGCTGAGTTTATACAGTCAACTTGACATCAGTTTGCTTTAGAGTAACGAAGAAGAGATGGTGGTCCAGCTCTGCCTGTAGGGTCTTCCCATGGTTATCCATTTCTCATGGTTACCCTCTTCCCTCAGGACCGCTTGGCGATGGCAGAAATGAACCCCACACAGGTGAGTAGAGTGTTTTCTACCTTTCTCCTACTATAATTATCTCGTTGATGGTCTTGGCACCTCCATATAAAGAAAAGTGGTGTCCCGAGATACTTTTTCTCTCTTCCTCCCTCTCATGTCTGAAACGTGGGTGGTTCCACGAGTTCCAATAGCTTGAATTAGGTCCTGGGTTTTTGTTTGTTTAAGTTTATTGTGACATCTTACCTGGATGGCCCTGAATTATGTGGAGTGGTTCCCATTTTTGACAATTCACATGGTAACCTCTGTCAGAGTGTCGTGAGCACAGGATTAAGAATGTTTCAATGCTTGGAGGAGAGACCGAACTGGATTTTTAGATAACTGCAAGTGTCTGTTATATCTGGTAGGAATAGGGAGCAGAGTGGGTGGTGGCCAGAGACACACGAAACGTCAGTCCTGGAATGACAGCCTAGGTCCTGGGTCTCTAATCTAAGAAAGGAGGTAGATGGGGAAGATTTGAAGAAGAGGGCAGTGGCAGGACCCTAGTTTAAGGGACTCTCTTTGGCTTCTGAGCGGAGGACAGACTGTGGAATTGAGGGTAACGGCAGAGAGCTCTGAGAGGATGTTCTTGCGGCAGTCTAAGTGGATGTTGCTGGCGGCTTATCAGGAGTAGCCATGGCTTCAGGATGTGTTTTGAACTAGAGCTGCTCGTATTTTATGGTGTAGAGTGGGGAGGTGGGATGGAAGGGAATCAGGAGTGGCCCCATGGTTTTGTTTGGAAACATAGATGCTCCATCAGCTAAGATGGGGGAAGTCAGCAGTATAAGGAATTTTCCGAGTGAGTATGAGGATTCAGTGTTTGTTCAGGTCATAGATGTCTCAGAGACTCCTGGTGGAGGAGTTCAGGTTGGAGATGTCCATACCATGGTGGCTGTCTATGGACCACAGTGAAGCCATGGATTCAGTTTAGGTGGCAGCATCTCTAGGTTATGGTGGCAGTGCTGTTTGAAGATAGAGAATTGGAATGGGGTGTGAGAACTAGGTCTCTTACTGGGTACCTGTGTGGTGAGGGAGAAATCACTAGACTAATGAGGGAATGGAGCGTTAGTGGGGATGAGAGTGTGTAAGACAGTGGGTACAGGAGAAAGAAAGGCTTTGGAAGGAGAGGACATGATAGGGTTGCTGAGGGCGATACTGGGTTCAGGTTGGAGAGTTGCTAAGCATCAGCTGGGGTGGGGTGAGGATGGGAATTGTATTAGTCCTTTTTCATATTGCTATAAAGAACTACCTGAGACAGGGTAATTGATGAAGAAAAAAGGTGTAATTGACTCACAGTTCTTTTTTCTTTCTTTCTTTCTTTCTTTTTTTTTTTTTTTTGAGACACAGTCTCTCTCTGTCGCCCGTGCTGGAGTGCAGTGGCACGATCTTGGCTCACTGAAACCTCCGCCTCCCGGATTCAAGTGATTCTCCTGCCTCAGTGTCCTGAGAAGCTGGGCCTACAGGCACACGCCACCATGCCCAGCTAATTTTTGTATTTTTGGTAGAGACAAGGTTTCACCTTGTTGTCCCGAATGGTCATGATTTGACCCTGTGATCCACCCACATTGGCCTCCCAAAGTGCTGAAATTACAGGCTTGAGTCACCACGCACTGCCGATGGTTCTTCCTGCTTAACAGGAAGCATAACTGGGAAGCTTCTGGCGGAAGGTGAAGGAGAAGCAAGGCACATGGTGGAGCAGGAGAGAGGGAGAGAAGGAAGGGGGAAAAGCCACACGCTTTTAAACAACCAGATCTCGTGAGAACTTACTATCATGAGAAAGGCAAGGGGAAAATACGCCCTCATGATCCAGTCACCTAACACCAGGTCCCTCCCCTGACACATGGGGATTACAGTTCAACCTGAGATTTGGGTGGGGACACAGAGCCAAACCATATCGGGAGTGGAGGTGTGGAGATCAGGGCAGCTGGGCTTGGAATGAGGTTTTGGTGGAGAGCGATTTTCCTGACTGCTCATGGGACAGAGCAGGCGTCCCCAAACTTTTTACACAGGGGGCCAGTTCACTGTCCCTCAGACCATTGGAGGGCCGCCACATACTGTGCTCCTCTCACTGACCACCAATGAAAGAGGTGCCCCTTCCGGAAGTGCGGCGGGGGGCCGGGTAAATGGCCTCAGGGAGCCGCATGCAGCCCACCGGCCGTAGTTTGGGAAAGCCTGGGACAGAGTGTGTCATGAGGCAGGAGACAGCTGAGAGTATGTGAAGGTCCTCACATGGTTTGGGCAGCCGACAGTAAAGTGAGAAACAGGGCCATGTGGGGAAACCTTCAAAGCAGGGCTTTGGGCTGCCCCTGGTGCTAGGGGACTTTAGTGTTGTGGGGCAGGACTGGGAGTGAATTGGATGCGGAGTGTATTTGCCGTCCACCAGCTGGTTTCCATGTGCAGAGTGGCCTGTTCGGAGGTGAAAGAAATGCCTATGGTGTGGGCTGGGAGGTTTCTGTGGAATTTACAGGAGGGTAGATGTGAGAGATGTGATTGGAGTGCTATCTAAAGAGTGATATGCAGGCAGGAGGAGTGTGAATGGATGGCCCCAGGCCCTGGCCCTGGTAGCTTAAGGGAGGGGGATGAGGCAGTTTGGTTGTCTTGGGAGGCAAGATCTGAGTGACTCCATGGAAACCAGCTGGCAGGTGACGATGGATATCCCCATGGGAGGCCCACATCCTAGGGGGTGCTTTTCTGCCTTGTCCTTCACCTGTTTTCTCTGTGTGCTGGACACAGTGGCCAATGGAAATGTGGAAAGAAAAGTCATTCATGCCATCTGGATGTGGTGTCTCTTCCACATTGGGAGCGTGTGCAGACTGAGCAAGGAAAGGAGGTGTCAGGGGAGAGCGATGAGATCCTGGAGAGAGAGAAATATAGCAGTGATTATACGCTTTAGGGTGTTTTTTTTTTCTTTTTTTGACTGAGTCTTGCTCTGTCGCCCAGGCTGGAGTGCAATGGCGCGTTCTCGGCTCACCGCAACCTCCGCCTCCTGGGCTCAGGCAATTCTCCTGCCTCAGCCTCCTGAGTAGCTGGGATTACAGGCATGCGCCACCACGCCCAGCTAGTTTTTTGTATTTTTTTTTTTTTTTTTTTTGAGACAGAGTTTCGCTCTTGTTACCCAGGCTGGAGTGCAATGGCATGATCTCGGCTCACCACAACCTCCGCCTCCCGGGTTCAGGCAATTCTCCTGCCTCAGCCTCCTGAGTAGCTGGGATTACAGGCACGCGCCACCATGCCCAGCTAATTTTTTTGTATTTTTAGTAGAGACGGGGTTTCACCATGTTGACCAGGATGGTCTCGATCTCTCGACCTCATGATCCACCCGCCTCAGCCTCCCAAAGTGCTGGGATTACAGGCTTGAGCCACCGCGCCCGGCAGTTTTTTGTATTTTTAGTAGACACAGGGTTTTTTTTTTTTTTTTTTTTTTTTTTTTGAGAGATGGAGACTTACTCTGTCACCAGGCTGGAGTGCAGTGGTGCAATCTCAGCTCACAGCAACCTCCAACTCCAAAGTTCAAGCGATTTTCCTGCCTCAGCCTCCGGAGTATCTGGAACTGCAGGTGGGCGCCACCACACCCAGCTAATTTTTGTATTTTTAGTAGAGACCGGGTTTCACCATGTTGGCCAGGATGATCTCAATCTCTTGACCTCCTGATCCACCCACCTCGGCGTCCCAAAGTGTTGGGATTACCGGCGTGAGCCACTGTGCCCAGCCTAATTTTTGTATTTTTTTATTTGGAGACAGAGTCTTGCCCTGTTGCCAGGCTGGAGTGCAGTGGCGCGATCTTGGCTCATTGCAACCTTTGACTCCCTGGTTCAAACTATTCTCCTGCCTCAGCCTCCTGAGTAGCTAGGATTACAGGCATGAACCACCATTCGCAGCTAATTTTTAGTAGAGATGGGGTTTCACCAAGCTGGCCAGGATGGCTACCCAAACTGTTGGGATTATAGGTGATAGGCGTGAGCCACTGCACCGGGCCTTTTTTTTTTTTTTTTTTTTTTTTTTCAGATAGAGTTTTGCTCTTGTTGCCCAGGCTGGAGTATAATGGCGTGATTCTCAGCTCATGGCAACCTTCGCCTCCTGGGTTCAAGTGATTCTCCTGCCTCATCCTCCCGAGTAGCTAGGATTACAGGCATGCATCACCACGCCTGGCTGATTTTTTATTTTTAGTAGGAACGGAGTTTCTTCATGTTGGTGAGACTGGTCTTGAACTCCTGACCTGAGGTGGTCTGCCCCTCTTAGTCTCCCAGAGTGCTGAGATTACAGGCATGAGCCACCATGCCCAGCCTAATTTTTGTATTTTTAGAAATCCAGAGATGGGTTTCACTGTGTTGGCCAGGCTGGTCTTGAACTACTGACCTCAGGTGATCCGCCTGCCATGGCCTCCCAAAGTGCTGGGATTTCAGGCACGAGCCATCAAGCGTGGCCCCCATGGGGTTTTCATTTATGAATGTGAGTGAGTGATCCCAGGGACAGGCCAATGACACTGAAAGAAGATACTTTCCTTTTTTTTTTTCTTTTTTCTTTTTTTCTTTCCAGAACCCCTTAGAAAACTTGGAATTAATGAAAGAAGATATTTATTCCTTACATTTCCCTAAGGAGGGTGCACACCACATAACACAGGGCCACATGGTGAAGGGCCAGATTTGGTCAGGAGGAAAACTGGAGTGAGGGGAAAGTTTAGTTTAGCCCACAGATGCTATTGGGGTTTCCATGGGAAACAAGGCAGGGCTGGGTGACAGGATAGTTTGGCTAGTTTAAGTAATTCCAGGATACCTGGGCTACTGGGACTGTCCCTAGTTGTATAGTACCTGCCCCCAAGTTGATTTAGATCGCGGGAAATACTGGCTTGGTTTGAGGAAGTGAGGGATGGAGGTGGTTCAGAATATGTGCCCAGGATGGTAGGGGAGATGGAAACACATTTTGCTGTTAGTTTGACCCTGTGTTTAATGGATGGTAAATATAAGTAGAAAATTGAGAACTTAAGTAAATACAGCTTGAAAAGATGCTGCTCACGTATTCATCTTTCCCAATTTGGCAGGACCGTGTGGTCTTTGAGGACGTGGCCATATATTTCTCCCAGGAGGAGTGGGGGCACCTTGATGAGGCTCAGAGATTGCTGTACCGTGATGTGATGCTGGAGAATTTGGCCCTTTTGTCCTCACTAGGTAAGGCCCTCACACTTGCCCAGCGTCCAGGTTGGGTTGTGTTATCCCTTTTTACCCAAAGGCAGCTCTGCGTTTCCTACAGTGAGACCATGGGTGCTGCTGCTTTTCCTTGTTTCATGTCATGTATTCTGTGAGAGTCAGGACTGGGCTGTGTGCTCTGTGCTCCCGTTTTCCTAGCAGCCCCATCCCCTGTTGCTCTGAGGCTTGCAAGAAAGGGCTCAGGATCCAGAAATGTTGAATCTGATGTAGAGACCCACCGGCTCTGTGTTCTGGTCCAATGGATGGGACCTCTGTGCTCCGTCGTTCCTTGCTCTTGCTTGTATTTCTTGGTGCCGCCTTGTTCTTGGAATTTCAGGCATTGACCTGACCTAATTTGCTGAACCACTGGCTTGATTGTGCAGGATGTAGAAATCTTCTGTGGAGTTCTGATTATTGTAGAATGTGTATTATCATTGGGTCAATCTCTCTGGGCGTGTGCTGTCTCATCTCTTTCTGTGTCTTTCCCCTAGGACTGGTCTCTTCCAGGTTCCACAGATTGTCACCTTAAGCAATAGCCAGGGCCCTGGGCACCCAAGAGGGTGGATATTACTCCCTGAAGGGCTGTAGCAGCTCAGAGGAACATGATCCTTGTTCCTTGGAGTTGGAAAACGGTATGATGTCACAGCTGGAGTCATATCACACTAGGAACCTGTCTTGTTTACCCCAGTTGTTTAGTTCAAGACCAGTTGCCACAACTCACTCTTCTTTTCCTTCCCCATTGTCATTTCTACTCTGACTTCTAATCCCTGGCTTCCACCTGTTACCCATTCTCCTCGACTGCTCCCTTTGCGTTGCCCTCCAGTGCATGACTGTACCTAAGGTGTTGTGATGTCTGCATGTATTTGTCAGTAGTCCTTGAACACCAGCTCCTTTGTCACAATCAGATCTCTCTGGGTTTAGACACAGCCTTCTACACACTGCTCACTAGTCACCAGCAGCCATGGCCTGTGGAAAGCCATTTGCAGAGACGTAACTTGGACACTCTCCTTCTCCTCTCTGCACAGTACCCCTCTCTTGTGTTCTTACCCATCATCAGGGCTCTCCCAACATGGGTATTTGCCAGGCCCAACTCTGCACAGCAGGCCTCTTCTCATTGGCTTTAGTGTTTGTATTATTTCATTCTCACTCTGCTATTAGGAAATACCCAAAACTGGTTAATTTCTAAAGCAGAAACGTTTAATTGACTCACAGTTCCGCATTGCTGGGGAGGCCTCAGGAAAGTTACGATCATGGCAGAAGGCAAAGGAGAAGCAGGCAAGATGCCCTTCTTCACAGGGTGGCAAGACGAATGAGTCCAAGCTGGGAAAATGCCAGACATGTAAGACCAACAGATTTCATGAGAATTTGCTCAGTATCATGAGAGCAGTATGGGGAAAACTGTTCCCATAATTCAATAATGTCTACCTTGTCCCACCCTTGACACGTGGGGATTATGGGGATTACAATTCAAGATGGGATTTGGGTGGGGATACAAAGCCTAACCATATTATTCCACCCTGGCCCATCCCAAATTTTATGTCCCTTTCACATTTCAAAACCAATCATGCCTTCCCAACAGTCTCCCAATGTCTTAATTCATTCCAGCATTAACCCAAAAGTCCAGGTCCACAGTCTGATCTGAGACAAGGCAAGTTCCTTACGCCTATGAGCCTGTAAAATCAAAAGCAAGTGAGTTACTTCCAAGATATAATGGGGATACAGGCATTGGGTAAATGTAGCCCTTGCTAATGGGAGAAATTGACCAAAACAAAGCCTACAGGCCCCATGCAAGTCCGAAACCCAGCGAGGCAGTCATTAAATCTTAATGCTCTGAAATGATATCCTTTGTATCCTTTGACTCCATGTTTCACATCCAGGGCACATTGATGCAATAGGTGGGCTCTGTAGTCTTGGGCAGTTCTGCCCCTGTGGCTTTGCTTTGAGAGGGGGTACAGACCCCCTCTCAGCTGCTTTCATGGGCTGGCTTTGAGTGTCTCCAGCTTTTTCAGGCATACAGTGTAAGCTCTTGCTGGATCTACTATTCCGGGAACTGGAGGACAGTGGCCCTCTTCTCACAGCTCCACTAGGCATTGCCACAGTAGGGACTCTGTGTGGGGGCTCCAACTCCAGATTTCCCTTCCTGCAGTGCCCTAGCAGAGACTCTCCATGAGTTCCACCCCTGAAGCAGATCTCTTCCTGGACATCAGGCATTTCCATACAGCCTCTGAAATATAGGTAGAGGTTCCTTCCCAAACTTTAATTCTTGACTTCTATGCCCCCACAGGCCCAACACCATGTGTAAGCCGCCAAGACTTTGGCGTTACACCCTCTGAAGCAATGGCTGAAGCTGTATCTTGCCCCTTTTAGCCATGGCTGGAGCTGAAGCAGCTGGGATGCAGGGTACCATGTCCAGAGGCTGCACAGAGCAGGGGGACCCAGAGCCAGCAGCTGGGATGCAGGGCTCCATGTCCTGAGGCTATACTGAGCCAGGGGTCCCTGGGCTGAGCCCACAAAACCATTTTTCCCTCCTAAGCCTCTGAGCCTGTGATGGGAGGGGCTGCCAGGAAGGTTTCTGACAGGCCCTGGAGGTATTTTCCCCATCGTGTTGGTGATTAACATTTGGCTCCTTGTAACTTAAGCAAATTTCTGCAGTAATCTTGAATTTCTCCTTAGAAAATGGGTTCTTCTTTTCTATTGCATAGTCAGCCTGCAAATTTTCCAGAATTTTATGCTCTTCTTCCTCTTGAACACTTTGCCACTTAGACATTTCTTCTGCCAGATGCCCTAAATCATCTTTCTCAAGTTCAAAGTTCCACAGATATCCAGGACAGGGGCAACATGCTGCCAGTCTCTTTGCTAAAGCATAGCAAGAGTCACCTTTACTGCAGTTCCCAGCAAGTTCCTCATCTCCCTCTGAGACCACCACAGCCTGGACTTCACTCCCCATATCACTAAGTCAGCATTCTGATCAAAGCTATCCATCAAGTCTCTAGGAAGTTCCAAACTTCCCCACATTTCCTGTCTTCTTCTGAGCCCTCCAAACTGTTCCACCCTCTGCCTGTTACCCAGTTCCAAAGTCACTGCCACATTTTGGGATATCCTTAGAGCAGTATCCCACTACCTCAGTTCCAGTTTACTGTATTTGTCCATTCTTACACTGCTATTAAGAAATACTCCAGCTGGGCACAGATCACCTAAAGTCAGGAGTTCAAGACCAGCCTGCCCAACATGGTGCAACCTCATCTCTCCTAAAAACACAAAAATTAGCTGGGCGTGGTGGCAGGTGCCTGTAATCCCAGCTACTTGGGAGGCTGAGGCAGGAGAATCACTCAAATCCAGGAAATGGAGGTTTCAGTGAGCTGAGATTGTACCACTGCATCCCACCCTGGGTGGCAGAGCAAAACTCTGTCTCAAAAAAAGAAACACCTGAGACTTGGCCGGGCTTGGTGGCTCACACCTATAATCCTAGCACTTTGTGAGGCTGAGGTGGGCATATCACATGAGGTCAGGAGTTTGAGGCCAGCCTGGACAACATGGCGAAACCCTGTCTCTACCAAAAATAACAACAAAAAATTAGCCGGGCATAGTGGCTCATACCTGTAATCCCAGCTACTCAGGAGGCTGAGGCAGGAGAACTGCTTGAACCCAGGAAGCGGAGGTTGCAGTGAGCCGAGATCACGCTACTGCACTCCAGCCTAGGGGACAGAGTGAGACTTCATCTCAAAAAAAAAAAAACAAAGAAATACCCAAGATTGGGTAATTTATAAATGAAAGAGGTTTAAAGACACACAGTTCTGCATGGCTGGGGAGGCCTCAGAAAATGTACAGTCACGGCAGAAGGCAACGGAGAAGCAGGCACCTTCTTCACAGGACAGCAAGATGGAGTGAGTGCAAGCAGGGGAAATGCAAGATGCTTATAAAACCATCAGGTCGCAGGAGAACTCACTGTCATGAGAATAGCACAGGGGAGCAGCCCTGTGATTACCTTCCACCTGGTCCCACCCTTGACACATGGGAATTATGGGGATTACAATTCAGGATGAGCGGGCCAGGCGCGGTGGCTCACACCTGTAGTTCCAGCACTTTCGGAGGCCGAGGCGGGTGGATCACGAGGTTGAGAGATCAAGACCATCCTGGTCAACATGGTGAAACCCCGTCTCTACTAAAAATACCAAAAAATTAGCTGGGCATGGTGGCGCGTGCCTATAATCCCAGCTACTCAGGAGGCTGAGGCAGGAGAATTCCCTGAACCCAGGGGGCGGAGGTTGCGCCATTGCACTCCAGCCTGGGTAACAAGAGCGAAACTCCGTCTCAAAAAAAAAAAAAAACAATTCAGGATGAGCTCTGGGTGGGAACACAAAGCCTAACCATATTGTTCCCAGACTAAACTGGAAGTAGCGTTGCTTATTCTCGCAGCCCAGTAATGAGATGCAGATAAACTGGGAAGAAAGAAAGTTTTTATTTCTGTAACCTGTTACAAGGAGAAGGCCTGGAAATTATTGCCAGACCAACTCTAAATTACAAACTTTTCCAGAGCTTACATACCTTCTAAGCTATTTGTCTACATTTAAGTGTGCTTTCATCTAAAGACCTAAGTGATTAACTTCTCTATAACTAAGATCTGAGTCCTGAAGACTTTCCTCTGGTGCCTCAGTAAACTTACTTAATCTAAGTGGGTCCAGGTGCTGGAGTTATTACCCTTATCTTGTCTCCTTCTAAATCACAGAGGTTTGGGGAGTTTCTTTAGAACCCCAATAAACTTGTTCGTGAAGGCTATGGGAGTTTTTTCAGACCCCCGAAAAAACTTATTTAATCCTAAACGGGTCCTGTAAGAATTCCTTGGTCATGAATTTCTCGTCATTCTTTAAGGGCCGGGAAAGTCCTGTGCAAAACTCTTTGTGGGCTTTCGTTACACTCCAGCCTGTGTGTAGGGCTGTTGGCCCCACTGGGTCATGGGGTGTCCCTTATGCTGTGCAGAGACGCTGGATCTGAGAAGTAAAGAGACAGGACACTGAAGAACTGGAGAAGAGCAGCTGGACTCCAGGGGCCACACCACCTATTAGTGGAGACAGGCAAGGCCCTGAACGTCCAGAAGCGTCTGTATTTATTAGGTACAAGCAGGGGGAAGGGTCGTAAGTGAGGTCATCGTCTATAGGCTTAGTGATAGGGCATACATAATCATGTGAGTCACAAGCAAGGGGACCACATCATTATGTCACCTGGGCAGAGAGGTAGGCCGTGAGCAGTAGGGGGCCATGCCGGGCGCAGTAGTAGAGGGTCGGGCACAGAAAAGGAGTCCACCCCCATTAGGTCACCAAGGCAAGGAGTTGGGCTGTGTGCAACAGGTGTCGTGTGCAACACTTTTTATCTGGGAGCTGGAGACTTCAAGGGATTTCTAATGGAACGATACTGTAAGCCAATGCAGTGGGAGCTGACAGACTTGTGCTCTTCTCTTAAGATATTTGTGGGAGGATGATTTGAGCTAGTTCAGAAGCGAGAAAAGGCTGACAGGGTGTACAGGCGCTGTGATCTGGTCACACCAGAGGGGTTCTTCTCCCTCGGTTATTTGCAGGATCTCAGGCCTGAGGCCTACTTTCCACAGGAACTGGATGCGAGATTCTATGACTCCTTTTTAAGGAGGAGTGAGAGGGCATACATAATCATGTGAGTCACAAGCAAGGGTGCCACCCCATTATGTCACCTGGGAAGATAGGTGGGCCGTGTGCAGTAGGGGGCAGTGCCGTGCGCAGTAGTAGAGGCTCTTGCTCCAAGCCTGCTATACAGCATATGTCCTTTCAGGCAGGGATGCCACCGCCTGGGTCTTTGGTTCTTGTCCTGGTCTGGCTGTTTTCCCATGTTCTATTCTGTGACTGCTCTAGGCATTCCTCTTACTACAAACGACTATATAGTTATATGGAAAGATTATATAAATCATCACTAAATGTGTTGGTACAGCTCCGACTACAATACCTATATGATTATATAGAATATATATATGATTATATAGACTATAATATATATATATGACTATATAGAAAGATTATATGGAACTAAGTATGCTAGATATAAGTACTAAGTATGACCGTATAAGCTAGATATATGTAAGCAGTAAGTTATAGTTCAGGTACTAATCCTGTAAACTAATATATGATTATATGTAAAGGATTATATAAAGGAAATAGCTGAGTAATAACACTATAAACAAGATAGTCTTCTGGCACTAATTGTGCCTTGAGTTTGCACATCTCTCCTTCCTTGGTGTCCATGTTGGGGGTTACTAAAATCTGTGCATGAGGGCACTGGCTTTATCAGCTTTTAATCAACTTAACCACTCAGTCCATCCTGAAACCATTGTCATGGAGGCCTGCCTGCTCAGCTGTTAGTGAGACCTGACCTGCCACAATACCAAGGTTCATGCCTGTCACCAGTTCCATGATCATTTTCATGGGGTGTCTGACAGACATTTGTGATGGAGTTGCCTCCACTCATCACAGTCAACATGCACTTCACCAGCATTTTTATTCTTACAGGTTGTTGCCATGGAGCAGAGAATGAGGAGGCACCTTTAGAGCAAGGTGTTTCTGTAGGAGTATCACAGGTCATGGCTCCAAAGCCCTGTCTATCTACCCAAAAGACCCAGCCCTGTGAGACATGTAGCTCACTTCTGAAGGATATTCTGCGTCTGGCTGAGCATGATGGAACACACCCTGAACAGGGGCCGTGCACATGTCCAGCACATCTTCACCAGCACCAAAAGGAGCAGATTAGAGAGAAACTTTGCAGAGGGGATGGAGGAAGACCATCATTTGTGAAGAACCACAGAGTTTACATAGCAGGGAAGACCTTCTTGTGCAGTGAGTGTGGGAAAGCATTTAGCCACAAAAATAAACTTGCTGACCATGAGAAAATCCACACTGGAGAAAGACCTTATAAGTGCAGCATATGTGGAATATTGTTTACGGAAAGGTCCACACTCAATAGACATCAGAGGACTCACACTGGAGAAAGGCCTTATGAGTGCAGTGAATGTGGGAAAGCCTTTCTTTGTAAGTCTCACCTTGTTCGTCACCAGACAATCCACTCTGGAGAAAGGCCTTATGAGTGCAGCGAATGTGGGAAACTGTTTATGTGGAGTTCCACACTCATTACACATCAGAGGGTTCACACTGGAAAGAGGCCTTATGGTTGTAGTGAATGTGGGAAGTTCTTTAAGTGCAACTCTAACCTCTTTAGGCATTACAGAATTCATACAGGAAAAAGGTCTTACGGTTGCAGTGAATGTGGGAAGTTCTTTATGGAAAGGTCTACACTCAGTAGACATCAGAGAGTTCACACTGGAGAAAGGCCTTATGAGTGCAGTGAATGTGGAAAATTCTTTAGCTTGAAATCTGTACTCATTCAACACCAAAGAGTTCATACTGGAGAACGGCCTTATGGAATGCAGTGAATGTGGGAAGGCCTTCCTTACAAAATCCCACCTCATTTGTCACCAGACAATTCACACTGCAGCAAAGCAGTGCAGTGAATGTGGGAAATTCTTTAGGTATAATTCCACACTTCTCAGACATCAGAAAGTCCACACTGGATGAAGCCCTTATGAATGCAGTGGATGTGGGAAAGCCTTTAGTCACCAACATACTGTGGCTGGACAGCAGGCAATACACACTGGAGAAAGACAGAGTGCCGTGAGTGTGGGTAATTACATAGACACAGCTCTCCAATCACTATGTATCAGAGAATTCACACTGCAGAAATATGTGTTCAGGAAACTTGGGATGTTATTTTGATTTGACTTTCGTCTCGGACATGGGAGAGTTTATACTGAAGAAGAGTCTTTTCAATAAAGTGGAAAGATTCAACATGCAAAATTGTACTTATTGGGCTTCAGAATATCCACACTAGCGAAAGTATGGCAAATGTGTGACATCCTTTTGCTGCTACGTAGACACCACGTGGTTCACACTGGAGAAAGGCCTTACAGACGCCTTGAATGTAGCCAAGATGGTGAACAACATCACCCAGAAATCTCTGATTTAGCACTGAGAACTAGTTTTATATGTTTTTAAAAAAATAATGGTAAAGTACATGCAACATAAAATTTCCCATCTTAGCTATTGTAATGTCCTGTTTAATACTTGAAGTACATCCATATTGTTGTGCAGAGAATATCCTGGACTCTTCGTCTTACAAAATGAAACTCTAGAACCATTAAATAACAACTCATTTCCACATTCCTTCAGTCCCTGGCGACCACCATTCTATTCTTAAGTCCATATGAATCTGACTATTCTTGGTACTTCATAGAAGAATAACCTTAGAGTGCTCTTCTTTTTATTATTTTTTTCACTTAGGATAATATCCTCGATGTTCATCTGTGTTTTAGCATGTATCAGAAATCTTAAGGCAGAGCAATATTTCATTGCTTGCATCTACCACATTTCCTTTATTTCTGACATCTACTCATGGATACTTAGGTTGCTTCTACCTTTTGCTATTGTGAGTATTACTACTACAAGCATAAGGGCACAAATATCTTTTCAAGATCCTGCTTTCAATTCTTATTGGGTATACCCAAAAAAGTGGAACTGCTGGATCATATGGTAATTCTAATTTTAATTCTTTGATGAACTGAGACACTTTTCCGTAAAACTTGCGCCATTTTACATTCCTAACATTCCACAAAAATTGTGATTTGTCCTCATTCTAATTCATAGAAAGTAACATTTCTAACAAGTTTCTAGGTGATTTTGTTGTTGCTGATGTTTTGAGAACTGTCCTATCCCATTTTTATAACAATATTCTGTAAATACCCCTTTTTTCTGTATTCTATCCTATAAGCCTTTTCATTTTAATTTTTCCCAGTGTTTACAACCAGGAAATGGCCTGCCATCTTTGATATAAAACCAATAGAAATCTTTGCAAAATACCAATTGCATTGTGTATTTTGATCGTTGCATTGATCCAGTTGCAATACCATTGCATTGATCCTTGATCAATGATTGATCCATTGATCATTTTCTCCCCCAGTCTATGTACATATTTAGTGGTGTATAATCTTGTATGAGAATACATCATGGTAAGAATAAATTTTAAAGGACTTAAGGTCACAAAATACAGCAATTTCCTTGTGGACCTGCCCTCCACCCAGGCTTTCTGATCCCAACAACTGTGCTCTTACTGCTGCTTTCCAGGTGTGTTCCTATCATGGGCTGTGCTTGCCATTGACCATTCCTCTTAATGGGTTCTAGGCAACAAATAGAATAGCTTAGGTGCCAAAGCCACAGAACCTGTCGGGAGTTGTGTCATTTTGAAAATTACGCAGAATTCTAAGTAACCTTATATGGCAGCAGTCCTCAGCCTTTTTCGGCACCAGGGACTGGTTTTATGGGAGACAATCTTTTCATGGATGGCGGTGCAGGGGGCTGGATGGTTTTGGAATGAAACTATTCTACCTCAGATCATCAGGCACTAGTTATATTCACTAAGGAGTGCACCTAGGTCCCTCACATGCACAGTTCACAATAGGGTTTGCACTCCTATGCTGTTTAGTGCCGCCGCTGCTCAGGAGGTGGGGATCAGGTGAAATGCTCACTCCTGCTGTGTGGCGCTGTGTGGCCTAGTTCCTAACAGGCCATGGACTGGTACAGTCTGTGGCTTGGGGATTGGTGGGGACCCCTGTTTTATGGGACTTGGGGATCTTGATTTGGGTTTTCCCTTTGACTATTGTCAAAGTTATTGCATCTAATTTTTCTAGAGTAAGCCAGGTTTTGTGTCATGTAATACAGCCACATAGGCCAGGCATGGTGGCTCTTGCCTGTAATCCCAGCACTTTGAGAGGCCAAGATGGGTGGATCACGAGGTCAAGAGATCAAGACCATCTTGGCCAACATGATACAACCCCATCTCTACTAAAAATACAAAAATTAGCTGGATGTGGTGGCACACACCTGTAGTCCCAGCTACTTGGGAGGCTGAGGCAGGAGAATTGCTTGAACCCAGGAGGCAGAGGTTGCAGTGAGCCGAGATCACACCACTGCACTCCAGCCTGGGCAACAGAGTGAGACTCCATCTCAAAAAAAAAAAAAAAAACAACAAAAAAAAAAACAAGCTAATATACCAAAAGCAAAATACTCAATCTGGTTCACTGGATGCATAAGAAAATGCAAGCTAATAAGCAAAAAACAAATTATTCAATCATTTGTTATATATAAGACCTTAAAAAATTAGAGAGTGCTGGGTCCAAACGTAATGCTAGATCAAGCTTAGATTTTAGTCCATCTAAGCGAAAGCCACCAGCCAGCCTAAAAGTCACCTCCCACCAAGGGCAGAATCATATAGAGACAACAGAAAATGTGTCTGAGACCTATGGCCACCAAGAAGGTAGTCAGTGTGGGAAAGAGCAAAACCAAGTAACTATTCAAACCAGAGAGAATGATGTGAAGAAATTGTTTCACTTTATAGATTGAAATAGTTTCCTGAGGAACCATTACAAACTGGATTGTGAGAGTAACTAATTAGGGGGACAGCATCTTTGGTTTTAAATGCTGCTGGATGGAAGAGCATGCTCAGGTTGATGCAGAACCTGAAACCACCTTTGCAGAATTATAAATGACAGAAATCTAACATAACTGTCTTGGTTCTAACCTCACAGGCTAAATTTTTATTTGTTTATTTTTTCTTATTTTAGCACAGATTCACATAAGGAGTGCACCTCGATCCCTTGCATTCACTGTTCACTGTTTATGTGGCTCTGTTTTGACAGCTAGTTTGCATTTTCTTTTTCATTTTTTTTTTTTTTTTTGAGACGGAGTTTCGCTCTTGTTACCAGGGCTGGAGTGCAATGGCGCGATCTCGGCTCACCGCAACCTCCGCCTCCTGGGCTCAGGCAATTCTCCTGCCTCAGCCTCCTGAGTAGCTGGGATTACAGGCACGCGCCACCATGCCCAGCTAATTTTTTGTATTTTTAGTAAAGACGGGGTTTCACCTTGTTGACCAGGATGGTCTCAATCTGTTGACCTCGTGATCCACCCGCCTCAGCCTCCCAAAGTGCTGGGATTACAGGCTTGAGCCACCGCGCCCGGCTGCATTTTCTTATGTATCCAGCGTACCAACTCCCTGGGATTTGGATCCATCTCTAAATTTCAATGGTGACTTTTAGTAACAGCACAGCCAGCTGCAGCTCCATACCATGTGTGCCTCCTTGACCACCAAGGAATCAAAGGTTTCTCATCCTCCACCCATTTTTAAATTGAAGATTATTCAAAAGTTAAACAACTTTATTATCTCTTATTAAAATACGAAAATTGTGTTCAAAATAGAAAATGAATTCTACCCTTTTTTTTTGAGACAGAGTTTTGGTCTGTTGCCCAGGCTGGAGTGCAGTGGCCTGATCTCGTCTCACTGCAACCTCTGCCTCCTGAGTTTAAGTGATTCTCCTGCCGCAGCCTCCTGAGTAGCTAGGACTACAGGTACATTCCACCACACCTGGCTAATTTTTTGTATTTTAGTAGAGATGGGTGTTTCAATATGTTGGCCAGGATGGTCTTGATCTCCTGACCGCGTGATCTACTCAACTCAGCCTCCCAAAATGCTGGGATTATAGGCATGAGGCACTGCACCTGGCCAAAATTCTACTTTTATATTTGTGTACTATCAATACTAAAGCTAATGTTACTAAAGTCTTATAAACAAACCCGTCCAATTTTAATCAGGTTTTGACCACACAAGGTAAGATTTTTTCCAAAAACCTTTTATATCCTCTTACAATTTTTTTCTATTTTTTTCTTTCCTTAATTTTTAGATCTATTTACCTTTTTTTTTTTTTTTTTTTTTTGAGACAGCGTCTCACTCATTCAGACTGGAACGCAGTGGTGTGATCTCAGCTCACTGCAGCCTCCACCTCCCAAGTTCAAGTGATTCAGCCTCCCACATAGCTGGGATTACAGGCACACGCCACCACACCCAGCTAATTTTTGTATTTTTAGTAGAGATGGGGTTTCTCCATATTCGCCAGGCTGGTCTCAAACTCCTGGCCTCAGGGATTCCACCCGCCTCAGCCTCCCAAAGTGCTGAAATTACATGCTTGAGCCATTACACCCAGTCCTAGATCTAATTACTTTTATCTACATTATTTTCCTTTCATTCTGAAACAGCCTTTACATAACCTCTAAACTAGACTTTTTACTAAAGAAAAAGTAATTAGCAAAAACCACATCTTCATTTTTTAAAATAAACTTCTTCACCAAAAACACATAGTAAACATCACAACACTGGGCTGCACAATACATTAATAGAGCACATTGATGTAAAGACATTTTTCTAAGTGTTTAGACCATACCTTTCATATCTAAACATGCAAAGAAATGAGTAGCCCCCTACAGTAATAACCATTTACTGTAAATAACTGCCACCAGCTACCTCTGACCCTGCAGCTCTTGCTTGTGACTAACAGCCATTACACACATCAAGGTCAAGTTCTCTTACAGGACAAAGTAATCTCTGGTACCCCCCAAAACCAGTCATATCAGGTAATGCACTACCAAAGAAGGCAGAATTTTAGACCTGAGAGAAATCTGTCCTCTTAAAACTCTTGGAGTTCCATGAAGAATCCAGAGGATTCTTCAAAACTAAAGTCAATGGAACTTTTTCTGTTTTTCTTTCTTTTTTTTTATGGTGAAAAGATATACATATATTTAGAATTAGCCAGCTAGACTCAGTTTAGATGATCCCAATTTTGTTGGCAACGTCCAAAGCATCGTAATCAGGAGCCAGTCGAACATATGCCTTCTCTCCATCAGGCCGAATCAGGGTGTTGACCTTGGCGACATCAGCGTCATAGAGCTTCTTCACAGCCTGTTTGATCCGGTGCTTGTTGGCTTTAACATCCACAATGAACACAAATGTGGTGTTGTCTTCTGTCTTCCTCATGGCGGACTCAGTGGTCAGCGGAAACTTGATGATAGCGTAGTGGTCCAGTTTGTTTCTCCTGGGGGCGCTCTTCCAAGGATATTTGGGCTGCCTCCGGAGTCGCAGTGTCTTAGGCTGCTGGAAGGTGGATGACGTGCAGATCTTCTTTTTTTTGTGGCTGTGGACACCTTTCAACACTGCCTTCTTGGCCTTTAAAGCCTTGGCTTTGGCTTCAGCTTTAGGAGGTACAGGAGCTTCCTTCTTCACTTTCGGCGCCATCTTGTGAAAAGGGTCTTCTGTTTTTCTTGAGAGATCCCAGGCTTTTAGAAAAAATTGTTAGGTTCCCTCATGTAATATTGAGGGTGGTAAGAGGAAGGAAGAACAGACAGAGTGCATATGGTTACTGAGAAGTGTTTAAAGAGAGAGAACAGAGGCATTAAAACAATATACATGCATACAAATAGCCTAAATATTAGTTTTAATTAAGTTGACTTTGACTGTACAGCTCTTTTAAAAAA